TAAATTATACTGAATATATTGTAGGAGTCAGCGCGGATCATAACTGGCATTAACTGCCCAACCGCTTGTGGCGAGTAATGGCCTAGAATATCCGTAACAGTATTGGAACAGGACTGCATCTGATCATCGAGAACAAATCGATTGAGTAAAGAACCAACCTGTGCAGCTCAGCGAAATAACCCCCCTCCCCCACCCTCCCAGCTACTGCGTATAGATATTAGGCCGGTCAGGCTGGACGATTTTACATCAGCCGTGTTTTTACAATCATGTTTATGCAAATGGTCGACTTCGTGGCGCTTTGTTACTAAGCAGCGTTTTTAGAACTCCTTTATCGCAACGCTGGCTGTATAGCACTGCATGACAATCACTTCAAACGTATTGGCAATTTGATTGAATTAGATGATTGAACGAAATTGATTAATTAATTAATTTATTTGTATATTTGTATATTTGTTTGTTTATTTATTTACTTATTTATTGGTAGAGGCTGATTTGATTGAATTGAGTTATTGGTTGCCGAGTGAATTAATGCATGAATGATGGATTGATAGGTAGATAGATTGATTAAATGGATTGGTTGATTAGAGAATGGATTGATTGCGTATTGGCCCGCGGGGAGTATAATAAGTGTGATTCATGCCTCCGATGCCAGCTGGATGATCTTCAGGCCAGCACGGAGCATGGCGCCTTGCCATCACGGGAAGGCACGCTCTAGCCTGCATTCCTCGCAGTCCCCAAGGTAGGTACCCCCGCCGTCGGCTTTCCGGCGCGCTACGGCTGGCAAAGTTATCCACATCAAACACGTTTGCGGCTCTTTAATGTGTGCAATCGCGTGTGTCATCAGTGCAGGTGATTACGGATAAGTTACGGACGGGTTTTCTGCGGGCAAACATAGGCGTCGACTACTCATATAGACACTAGCCGGCGCGCGCGTCGATGCACGAACGGTAGTCGGTGAATGTCGTGAGGCTTTATCTGCCTGGCTTCGTGAATAGGCCTGTGGCGGACTGTGCGCGAGCGTTGTTGTTGATTCTACGTCTGCGATCGTCATCGATCTGTCGCATTGTTTTCTATTAATCATGATCGCGGAACTTCGTGGTTCGGGCTGCGGTGTTTGGGGGAGCGAAGAAAACTCGCGCTTGTGCACACACGGAAGGCAGGGCTGCTGCGGTGGCTAGTGATCACCGTGGGTGGCCTTAGTGTGGTGGTCACCGTGCTGCTGCTGCTGCTGCTGCTACTGCTGCTGCTGCTGCTGCTGCTGCTGCTGCTGCTGCTGCTACTGGCGTGTATATACTATATAGGCGCTAAACTGAATGTTGCACGTACGTAGATAGATATTGCCGTGCTTATTACGAGTAGTGTGCGCGCGTGCGTGCGTGCGTACGTGAGTGTGCGTGCGCGCGTGCGTGAGTGTGCGCGCGTGCGTGCGTGCGTGAGTGTGTGAGTGTACGCGCGTGTGTGCGTGCGTGCGTGAGTCTGCTTGCGTGCGTGCATGAGTGTGCGCGCGTGCGTGCGTGCGTGTACGAGTGCATGTGCATAATCGCATGTGCGTTTCGCACGTGGGAGTTGCTAGATGATTGATTACAGCACACGAGCAGACACGTACAGATGTCGCAGGTATGGCTGTTGACACACGCTTAAGGTATTACAGTGGGAAATCGTTTTTCACTCGAGACCACACTGAGCTCAAAATTCCGATAAATCAGCACGGGGTCACTTTGCGAAATTTCGACGCACTCGCCGATATTGCATTAAAAGACGCAAAAAATATTTGGTTAACTCAAATATTACTCAATAATTTTTGGATATTCACAAAAACACGCCAAACGGACAATTTGCGTGGTTTTACTCTGAAAAGTGGCCTCGCGTATGCAATTTGAAGCTGACACACGAATACACAGGTAAAGGGGCAGCTGCCCCAGCAGATAGAGCAAGAAGTCTAATTTCCGTCAATGATTTGAAATCCTGTATAGCTTCTTTCGTCGGAGAGATAAAAAACATAGCTTTTAATTGTCGACATCCGCCAAAGATCTAACTATTTCATTGTCCCACCTTCCATTGACTGATTTGGAAGTGGAATACCTTAACTGCGATTGCACCAGCTTGTCTGGTAGAAACTGCGCATGCATTAGAACCTATTTTCATTTGAATTCCTCAGGAGTGTTGCGTGCTTTTTTGAGTTGCTAATAGTTTGTGCCTGGCAGTACATGCATTTCTGTGGCTTAATTTGGCCATTCGGTTTCCCAACGCGGCAGTGATCGAACATTACAGATATCACGAGTGCGTGTAGATGTTAGTGTCGAGTGAAAGTTTGTTTACCCGCAGAGATTGCCCCCCCCCTCAATGTTCACCACACGACCGAAAATTACCTACGGAGGTTAGTGATACGGGTTTTGATTATTGTGTTTTCTCGTCGTCGTCGCTATTATTATTGTTGTTGTTGTTGTTGTTTGTTTGTTTGTTTGTTTGTTTGTTTGTCGTTTTATTGCTGTTGTTGTTGTCGTTGTCGCTGTAGTCATCGTCGTCGTTGTTGTTGTTTATGCTGTTGCTGTTTTCGTTGTTGTCGTCGTTTTTGTGTATTGCTTGTTCGTTGTTATTTGTCGTCGTTCTGTCGTGCGGTGACTGAGGCTTAACAACTGCGCTGTCTCAGTTGACCTTCGCCGTCCGTGAAACAGAAAAATTCATCGAAAGCCGACAGCGAGCGCGATGTGATGCTGCGTCGCTTGACTATAATCTTTGCTTTCCTGCCTAAATCAGTGCAAAAATCAGTGCATCTTTGCTTTCCTGCCTAAATCAGTGCAA